CCCCCCCCCCGGCCTGCAGCCAGCCTGGCTCTCTTCCAGGAACATCCTGACGCTTATCAATGGCTTCGACCTGCCTGAGGGCAACGTGACGCAGGAGAACTTCGCGGAGGTGCAGCAGTGGTTCAATGCCACGGAGCCCGAGGCCTACGCGAAACTGCATTTCCAGACCTGCGACATGAACTCCTTCCTCTCGGAGGTCGGTGCCTTGGGTGGCGCCCCTGCGGTTCGGGCTCTGGGGGCAGGGGGCGGGCGCTGAGCTTCCCCTGCGAGCCCGGTGCCCACGGGCCTGGCCTCCTCCAGTGCCTCACGTCAAACACGTGAAAATACCCCGTGGGCTACTTTTACTATAGTTCCTCCTACAAAAACGCCAGTGTCCTTATAACCGTCTTGCAATCTCGTTTGATTGGCATATGTCACTCGGGGAGGCTGACGCATCTTAGTACAGCTGCAAATCTGCTCTAATGTGCCACTGCCTTTGAACTCCAGTCTTATTTTCTCTTTTATTAAAAACATGTTTTTAGTATCTTCTTTTTGGGAGAGCGCAAGGTAGGAAGGGGCAGAGAGAGGGGGACGGAGGATCCAAAGCAAGCTCTGCACGGATAGGCTGTCTGCACAGAGTGTGACATGGGGTTCGAATTCACAAACTGCGAGGTCGTGGCCCGAGCCGAGGTCGACGCTCAACTGACCGGGCCACCTGGGCGCCCCTCTAAGTCCCATTTTAATGATGAGTAAGGTTTCCATATCGTTAAGGTTTATGAGCCCGAATTTACCAGTTTTAATTCTGCAATTTTCTTATTTGGAGCCGCACGGTATTTGGGGGCATGCCACATGCCGCCAGGCCCTGGCCACGAGTTTTCCATCAGCAGTGGGTCCCCGCCGCCCCATCCCCAGCCCCAGGCCACGAGGCTGCTGCGTCTGCCTCTGGTTTTGCTGCAGTCTGTGCCCCGAGGCTGGCTGGGCTCGCCCGGGCATCCTGAGTTTCCTCGCATGGGCGCACCGCTGCCCTTCGCTACCACGTCCTCCCGAAGTCCTGGCTCTCCCCGCAGGGCGGAGCTGGTGTGTGGAGGGCAGCGGCACGTTTTCCACAGACTCACGTAGATGCCGTGAAGTTACTTTGGGGTCCCTGACTTCTGAGTGGGTCCCCGGGACCGGAGCCCGTGACCTGCAGGGAACACGGGGGCCCCGGGCTCCCGACTTAGCCTCTCAGCCCCACCAGGAACACCTGCTGCCTGGAGGGAGGAGCCAAGGCAGAGGTCTCGCTGACCCACGTGGGGCCAAAGGCAGGGGCACGGGGTCAGCCGGGGTGCCACACGGAGCCCTGGCACTTCTGCGTCCGCAAGCCCGTCGGCGCGCACAGCCTGGCCCGCTGTTCACAGCCCTAGGGCGTCTGTTCGGGACGCGTGCTCAGGCTAGTAAAGTCATCCTGAGCTCTGAGCCCAGCTGTGTGGGGAGCGGCTCAGGAAGCGTCCTGTGGGGTGACACCTGTCAGCGAGCAGACGGTCTGCCGTGCCTGCCACATGTCTGTCTGGGCCACGTGGGGCCCTGACTGCTGCCAAGCAGTGCCACCCACTTCCTGGTGTTTGAACTCAGGCAGCTTTTAAAAATGCAGTTGGGTCCAAGAGATGAGTTCTGGTGGTTTTCCCCGGGTGGCTGAAATCAGCGCTTTCCTTGTGCGGGGGGCGGAGGAGGGGTGCTCAGCAGGTGCGGGGTCGGGCAAGGACAGGGGCCCTCGGGGGGGCGTGTGCCTCGCTGATGGAGCTGCCCACCCTGCAGGGCGTGGAGGGCACGGGGCTGGCCTTCATCGTCTTCACGGAGGCCATCACCAAAATGCCCGTGTCCCCGCTGTGGTCCGTCCTCTTCTTCATCATGCTCTTCTGCCTGGGCCTGTCGTCCATGTTTGGCAACATGGAGGGCGTGGTCGTGCCCCTGCAGGACCTCAAGATCATCCCCGAAAAGTGGCCCAAAGAGCTGCTCACAGGTATGTGGGGCCGGGACGGCCTCCAGGCTGCGGCCTCGGCTGGGGCGCGGGGCCTGGGTCCGCAGCAGACGTGTTCTCTGTCCCGAAGGCCTCATCTGCCTGGGGATGTACCTTATCGCGTTCATCTTCACGCTGAACTCGGGCCAGTACTGGCTGTCCCTGCTGGACAGCTACGCCGGTTCCATCCCGCTGCTCATTGTCGCCTTCTGCGAGATGTTCGCCGTGGTCTACGTGTACGGTGTGGACAGGTAAGAGGGAGGCAGGAAGCTCCCGCGCTCGGGGCAGGGGGAGACGGGCGTGTGTGTGAC